AAAGAAATTGGACTTGCGGTTTTAAACAAGAAATCAAAAATATCGCTTTTTACCAAAAATTACAAAAATATTCACCAAAATTAGGGAATTCAAGATATCATCATGAAATGAACAAATCTGTGAGAGGTCCACACGTAGCATCTACACATGAGATATCAAAGCAATCGGACTTGAGGTTTTCAACAAGAAGTTGAAAATATCACTTTTTTACCAAAAATTACAAAAATATTCATCAAAATTAGAGAATTAAAGATATCATTACAAAATTAACAAATCTGAGAAAGGTCCACATATAGTACCTATATACGTAATATCAAAGTAATCGGACTTGCGTTTTTTTACAAGAAGTTTACCAAAAATGACAAAAATATTCACCAAAATAGAGAATTTGAGATTTTGACATGAAATGAACAAATCTGAGAAAGAACCATCCAAGGTATTTGCATATCAAATTTGAAAATATTCTGACCTGCGGTTTCGAAAAAGAAGTTGAAATTGTAAAGTTGCCGCCGGTGGCGGCGACGGACAATCAGTAATATGAACTTTGTCGACAGCGGAGCTAAAAAGTCAGTAAAGACAACAGTGACAATTCAATGTCCGACAAATAAAAAAACATTTAAAACAAGTCATGAATGACACTGCCTTCGCTTGTTGTCATTTTAAAGTTGCATGGACATAAATTGGCAAACGTGATTTCTATGGCATTTTCAAGTTTATAGCACTCTCCATCCAGGTCAGCATTATTCTCAGCAAGGAAACCAGATAGCACCAAACCAGTACAACAGGTAAAATGACAAGGAAGTATACAAATCAGATCTGCAAATATGTCAGTGTTGTGTCTGTTTGGATAAACTAGTTTGTGGCCCTGGATTAGTTTCAATATCTCTAAAAAGAACAAGATTACTTCTCATATGACAATGATACAAATAAATTGCAAAAATCCATAAAAATATTATCAAGTTTTTATTATCATACATTAATATTAACAAATCGTGTGAAATTTTATGTACAGTGAAACACATTTTTATGCTTTGGTTGACAGAACTTCTCAAAGTAAAAAACGGAGGACCTGCGAGACTTTATACAATTGTCGGACACGCAGTGAATAGTACCGGTATGTTGTTGTAATACATGCAGTTCCAGTGGCTTTGCTTTCTGAGAAAAAAAAATCTGGCTATGCACCTGAAAAACAAAAAAAACAAAACAAAAATATTTAGCCCAAAGTAAGCAGAGGTTGTAGCAAATGTGCTCCCATTGGCTGTTAGATTTAATTAAAAAAGATATTTGAGTCTTTTTAGTATGAAAAAATATTACTTAATAAATTTATACATTGTACCAGCCAGAAAGAAATTGCAGTTCACACTGTACTATTACATGTTCTACCAAAGTCTAGGATGAACTAATTCAACAGTCTGTTTCCACTCTACAAAGTTGTCAAATTAATATTACGGGATTAAGAATGTGCAAAAAGCCACTTGAGCTGAACCAAATGGATGCCAAGCTATCAAAAGAAATTAAAAAAAACTATTGAGAAAAATACAAAAAAATACATTTAATATAAAAGCAGATAGAAGTGCATAAAAAACTAATCAGCAGAGGTAGTGATCATGTAATCAAATTTCCTTTGAACTGGATTGCATTATCTCAGACTGGCTGCTAATTTGCATATTAATTTGCATACTAATTAACATATTGTAGTTGTATTAAAATATATAAAATAATATCCGAAGTTTTGAAAAAAAAAAATTATGACTATTAAGTCAACATCATTAAAATTGAGGATTACGTGAATTTGACCCCCTCCCTAATATTGTTTCACATATCCCTTATAACATGGCCGCCGTTAAATCCATCTCAATCGAGGTCCGTAATTTATTTTCCTGCTCATAATGGAGATAAATTATGGTAGCTAAACATTGAAATTGCCACCCTGACTTCAGTACCGAAATAAATAGCTGATTGGGAAAATGTGTCTCTGTTGACAGAGGTTCGATTTACCGATAAACTTCACACCGCATGGAGCATAGAGGTCCCAGTCATGAGTGCAGTAACGCACTCGGTATCATATTTACTTCAAAGGTAATTTAAAGCGATGA